AACGTTTTTTATGCGTTTACAAAAAATAATATTTTTACATTTTCAAATGCAAATTATTTGAAATTTAATACTTATTAGCTAGGTATTATGTATTGGAGGATATATACTTATCATTGTTTATTTACATTTATTTGACAATTAACACTAAATCAGTATGAATACACATATTTAAGTCGATGAAGTCATCATATAAATTATTGAAATCATATTTAATATAATATTACTACCTATAGGTTAAACAAAATTGTTCAATAATATAATTATTTAATCAGTGATATTGTTCTTCATCATTAGTAGCTCACTCGCTTCCCCAGTGATTCTTCATTTTGCTAGATTGATTGACACGGTTTTTAAAAATATAATTTACATATATTCTGATCTCCTAATAATATTTATCGCTCAGCCCTATTATAGTTCAGAGTCGAGTGGGTAATTTTGTTTTATTTTGTCTACCTTCTTCTTCGGCTACTCGAATAGAAAATATCAAATATAAAACAACAACGGTTAAAATATCAGCTATGACCGCGATAAATGATTTAGATGATAATAATATTATGTTATAGCATCAATTACGGTTGTCGACAGCTCTCGTCTTTCTGTAGTTGAATATTATAGCACGTTAACATTTTCCATAAGTCTTCTGAAATAGTCAAGCCCATTAAGGTTATTGTAATTAAGTGTGAAAAATAAACCGTGTAACCGATTTCATCGCGGTTCTTTGAGTATCGTGTGATGAAATATTCTTAATAAAAAAATATATTGTGTTCACACACTCAACGGATACCACGTTCAAGTAGATGATTTTCGGTGTACGATTAATTGTATTGTTTTATTTAAGTAAAAATAAAAACCCACGTTGCACTTTTCAAAATAAAATAATGTTCCCGAAAATATAATATTATCCATTTATTATACAGGGTAATCCATCTGATGTAAAACACTAATTTTCTCGGAAAATATGAATATCTTAAACATTTTCTTTTTTCTATACTTGTAGATATGCATTTTACTGTATTTTTCAATACTTGGAAATTGTTAACCTTCATTCATTGTATGTAAAAAAAGTATGGATCTATTTTTTTTTTCGAACTAGAACATATGTTTTTAGTGCAGAAAATATGTAGACAACATTTGTTTAGAAAATGTCAGCGTTTAAGCTATTTTTAAATTTCATCAATCTGTTGTACATCGACCTGTTGTACATAAATTAACGCGTTTTTGCGGGCGCGTGGGAGAGAAAATATACCGAGAGTGAATTTATTGACAATTTTTTATTTTTCGTTCACCCCTTCGTTCCCAACACCACCACCGCCCACGATCGCCGGCAAAAGCTGACCGTCGCCTGTTCATATTGTTTTCGTTCCATTATTATTATTTCATGTGTGTTATTAAAATATAAATTAAAATAACTATGGCGTGCGAGCTCGTGCGCGAAACCCGAGCGGGTGCGGACAAATTTAACGACGTCCGAAATAAACCCTTCGCACGACTGTCGATACCGATTTGGTTTTTAAAGGGAAAAGATCAAGTCGCACTCGACACTTCGGTCCAGCCATCGAGAACCGGCGCCGTACAAAGAATGTTTTAGTATCTAAAATTATATATTGTATAATATATTATAAATTTTAACCTTTCTTGTTATAGCTAGAATTGGGAAGAAAAAATGTAAGGCGTCGACCCCATCGAAGAAATTGGTAAAACAAAGCCATATTATATTATTAAAAGGATTCTATATCACATTATTATTTTTTACCTAGATTTCTTAATAATTAATCCAATTCTTGTTTTTTCAAACCGAGTTATAGGTACCTATTATAAATATACAGTACTTCCATTGATATTATTCGACGGTACCGTCCGTAGATGTGAGTATCTACCCTACTATATTACATTTTGTATTTTATTAAAATTAAATTAAAAACGTAACAAATTACTTGTATTATGAGGATAAATTTCTTCCCTTCCCCTAGGGAAGATATTGTCGGTATACAAAGCAAGTAAAAATATTTTAATGAGTAAGTTGAGTTGGCTAAAACGAGATTTAATAATAATAATAGCCTAATTTAGAATACCTAACAACACTTAACACAAATAATTTTTCAATCTTAGTCTAACGATGTATACTTATTGCGATTTTTGATGATCAATAATATTTTTTATATATTGAAACAGTATACAAAGTGATCAATTTATCGTTATAACCATTATCGAAAACCAGTGATCTCCCCGTTCGATAGCTTTTACTTCATGACAAGATATTTTGTTGGTGCGCTTAAAAAAATGGTTCTCTCTATCACCAACTCAAAATAATAATTGTCTAAATATTTCTCAAGCTTTTTCACTCGTTTAAATACAAATATAATATTACTTTTCTTTTTCTTCCGTACACGATTAAGACGCAATAGTGTTATTGCTTTTTTTTTCTACCTCGTCTAATATTTTTATACATTTTTTATATACAATGTTATGGAAACATTTCCTAATTGGAATTTGTAAAAAGTAAACGATATTTGAAAATAAGAAAACAGACAACGACAACAAAAAATTCTTACCAGAAATAGATAATGCGTAGAACACAAGAGTACACAAACACATTGATAGTTTCCGCCAATCAAACACAATTATCAAGTATTTTTTTCACTTACCAACAAAATTGTTTTTTTTCACTCGATTAACTATTTGAAAATGTTGACTCATTGCATCAAATTATGAACATAATTCTAATATTTTCTTGTTGTATAAAAAAATATATATATGAAAACTATTTTGTTTTACTACTTTACAATTTCGAGCGATATTAAAATTAAAAATTGTTTTTGAGCTAGCTAGCTGCAGTTCCCGGGGATTTTTTTTTTTTTATCATAGAATGGAAGTAAGACCATAATATGTGACCATATATTATGTATTCTTATCGAAAATATAACAACATGGCATTCTTCGGTGCAATTCCTATACGTACGTCATTTTGCTTTTATCAGTAAAACTTACCTTAAACCTTTTGACACTTTTTTTTGTTTTGTAATCTCAGCATGGCAACTTATATAATTTTCGTTATCTGGTGGTTTCGCATGTCTGATGCAAGTAGAATTATTCATTTTCGAGGAAGATACGGGCCAATAATTTGGCAACAGTTTTTTTTTTATTGGCCATTTTTGGATCAAAGTAATACAACGGAGTGCGCGTTTGAGATTTTAACTTTTCTTTTGAAAATCTCCTTAAACGGACGACCAGTATAGAAACTCGTTTGTCATTCGATTGCAGTATGCGACTCTGTTGTCTTATGGGCTTTCTATATTACTATTTGCTTGCCGTTTAGCGCGGGCGACAAGGTTTACCTATGCCAAGCTTGCCGTATGTTATTATTATTAGGAACACTGTGTTGACCGAAAGAATAATATTATTGTTATTGTTATCGTGTTACCGCAGTAATTATTTTAAATGGGAAAATATGTTGTTTTTCCTATTGACCGGTACCTCTATATATCTATATAAGCGGCAAGCGGCCTTCGCGTTTACAATAATTGAGATCATTACTGTAATTCTTATTGTGATATATATACGTGTATTTTTTTTTTTTTTTTGAGTAAATATTCGAATTTATTTTACAAACACCGTACCTATTCCGTGTATACATTTCTAATGGTACGAATTACGTCATTATAGTATACTAGTATTGTTGGGTTACGTACCAATTTCGCAAGTTTCCCATTTTTAAAATTTTTTTTTATTCAAATAAACATGTATGCCAAAAAACGATTATAATAATATTTTGTTAACGGTCTCGCCTAAAATGTGTCCTCAAATCCCGTTACGCAAGTCTTCGGAATAAAACGGGATGCGTTTTAGTGTTAAGTTATATACTTTTACAATTGTACATCAAACAAGTGCCATTGCCAGAAATTGGCCGTGGGGAGGGGAGGTTATACCCACAAACCCACTATGGCTACGCCGCTGGTAAATTATATCACCAACCTATATGCTTAGGGTTAGCCAAACACTATAATAATACACAAATCGTTCAGTGAAATCTTAAAAAGTGTGTAAATTTAAATTACAAGCAATTTAATATTGTACAAATAGTATAAATAAGCCGATAGTGGTTGACACTACGGATGGTGGATATATTAAATCATTTTTGTTATGCAACAGGGAAGAAATCACAAATTGATTTAAAATCACGTTTTAGCAGAATATTCAAAAATAGTATTTACCTACAAGGTGGTGTTGTAAAAATGTTTCATTGTTTTAATTATACTGGAATACCACGATGATGTTTCTGTTTACTTTGATGAAAACAATAATTATGTCTATGTTCAATTCTGCAGTTATCCCATTTCACCCTATAAGGTTAATTCGAGTCGTCTAAAATTGTACCCCTTGAGAATATTTTTTGTGTCTCCCTAAAAGTTAGTCAAACTTTGTTGTAAGTTTCAACGAGACAAAATTTGTTGTGAGTACATTTTCGAAATTTATGTTTTCATTAAAAACATATTTATTAGATAATAAAAGATGATAAAAATATAGACTGTCACCATTTATTTATATAATATAATAAAATGTTAAATTTTTTGTGATATTTCGTCCAAGACTTCAACGTTAACAATAATAATTTTATAATTGAATCAGTCATTTCAAAAACAACATAAGTCACCGATTTTTAAATAAATTAGAAAATAGGTGTAAATGCAAAATAAGTTGAATTTCCGGAGTTATGAAGTTTTTTGTGGCTAGTGTAAAATTGACAGGTAACATTCATTAAGATCGTGCTATCGATGACATAATATATTAATAACAATATTATTATAACCGCGTCGCGTCGGTGGCGGAGATTATTAGTGTTATACGATATTATTAATAAATTAATCACAATAATATTAACGGCGTTCGGGCGGCCACGGCGGTGGCGGCGGTCGTCCGTCAGATGGCACTGACCAATGAGCGGCGGCGGCGGGCGGGCGGCTGCGTTGCTGGCGGCGCGCGACCTCTCGCAGTGTGCTACTCGTAATCGGGGCGTAAGAGTGCACCGGTGCTCGGCCGACTTTACCCCACGTGTACGTCCGTCGTCATGTAATCAGTATATATTATTATAAAATAGTACATAATATTAAACGCGAATCGTGTGCTACGTCGGTATAAAGTGGTGAATTGTTTTTTTTAAATTTATTTATTTATTTTAGTCCGTTGATTTTTTGCGTTTACTTCAAAAATTGTTGTATTATTATTTTAATTTAAAAAATCAATCGATCCGACCGTAATAATCGTTGTTAGCGCCAAAATATTAACGCAAATTATTATTGTCACCGACGACAACGTCACGATGGACACCACCTAAGAGTATTAATGCGTACAACCAACATTTTTAAAACTCGTCGGCCGGCGGACACGAAGAAATCTAAATAAATTTAAAAAAAAAGAAATTTAATAATAATATAATTTTTATTTCCTCTTGGTTTTGCCCGCGACAACCGTCGATAATCGTCGTTAAGTATATTATACAATAATATGACGGATTCGCATAATCCGCGGTACCGTTGGTGACATGACGGATGGTGTTTGCGTGTGCCGGACAGTGTTGGTGGCGCTGGCCGTGTGGTGTCTGGCTGTAGGCGCAGAGGTGGCTACCCGGATGGCGCCCTGCGCCCATCTGGGCGACGAGACCAACGACGTCTCGGCCCGGGCGTACGCGTCCGACGTGGTGTTCGAGGGCAAGGTGCGGTCCAAGAGCCCGGTACGGCAGGACGCCGGCACGTACGGCGTCACGTTCGTCGTGCAGCGGGTGCACAAGGACGCCATGCAGGCGGTGACGTACGAGGGCCTCCGAGTTGGCAGCCCGGTTCGGCTGTACTTTCGTGAGAAACGCGACCCGGGCGGCGGCGGAGACCCGCGGCGACGACGGCCGGCCGGGTCCGCGGGCGGCGGGTCGTCGCAGTGCGTCCAGCGGTTCGCGCCCGCCGCAGGCGGCCAGACGGTCGAAGCCAACATCAAGCGCGGCGCAAAGTACCTGGTGTTCGTGGCCGGCGTGGGCCCACACAACCTGTCCGTGCTCGGCGAACCCGTGCTCCGGACGCCCAAGAACGTGCAAGCCGTCCGGCAGGTGTTGTGCAGGAATTGCAGTAAGTACCAAATAGTAACATCTAATATTTTCAAAAACGATTATATTCGACATCCGCGGGCCAAACCGTTGGCCGATGGCCTGTGGCCGTCCGCCGAGACGGCACTGAAAACCGTCAAAAATGGAACGCGGCCAAAGTCTATTTTCGGACGGTCTCACGATATGAGTCAGTAGGTTTTCCTTTACTACACCAAATACTACACCGACTCGGAACGAACATTTTGTTAATGATAATCGAGGAAAGCTTACTCGTCAAGTCGAATGTAGTCTTGCCTGTCGCGTTAGCCAGCCGTTCTAACTAGGCGAATCGACGGTTATCGAAAGTTCACCCTGTTGACTCGAAAGAGAACGTCGTAGAGAATGCGGTCAAGCCGCAGTGTTAATATTATTCGGCACATCGAGACGATTAATTTCCCAACGCTTGATAACGATTAACAGTTTACTGTGAGTATGTGTGTAAAAAAAAATGTCCAAGTTCCATTCCAAAGCCACCCAAAACGGCCGGCACAACGTCTTAAAGGAGGAACCGCCGACGGACACGATGCAATATCTGAACACGTGAAAGTCAACGATTGGCGTTTCAGCTCAGAACCGGCGTGTCTCTCGATTCGTGTTGTCGCCGTGTGAGAGATAATATTTTCATTTTAGTTTAAAATTTTCGCAAAAAAATAACGCACATATTTTATCGAGACAGAGAAAAAAACATTGCAAAAAAATGATATCGTTCCTCTTATATGCGGTTGCCCGAAACGGATGTATATGCCGTCTCCTCCGATTGTTTCGTATAATTAAATATTAAAGGTTCAAAACGGCACAAAATCCGTCTGGCACACGTCGGCCGTCCGGTCTAAAAATAAACCGGTGTAATCCGAATATGTTAAGCTCGACTTGTGCGCTCCGACCAAGCTCTGCCGAATAAACATAATAATTGTCAGTCTGCAAACATAATAATATTATCATGTTTAAGTAATCGTGTGTATACTTCTTGCCTAAAAGCTTCACCCAAAAGCAAAGTCGGTTAATGGTGGGAACCCTTAAGAGGAAAGGGCGGTTTTTTGGGGCGACTGGTCGGTGGCAAAATTCGTGGAGATCTGACACGGACAGCAACCACAACGTGTGGGGTCGTCCCATCGGTGGTTCTGTCGGAGTAGAAGATATTTTTCTTCAAAGAGAGCGCAAAAAACAACAAAAATACTAATTCCACTCGGCTATTCGAAGCACGCATAGGTAACCGTTGTTTCTGGTTATTGGTAGTTTTTTCCACTGAATCCAATTCGGATAATCCAAATTTCGATCCCAGGTGAGATTTTTTTATCTTCAAAAATAGCGCCGCCGAACATTTGCATACAACGCTTTTGGAATTTCGGTTTTTTTGCAGTTTAATTTCCTTTTTTTATTTATTGACCGTCTAAAAAGGCACGCGTTCCGTCTTGAGTTTTTCTAAAATGTATCATTATAGCTAAATTATAGATAGTTAAATATAAAATTTTACTATAAAATATTTTAATTAATTTTGTTTCTTTTTTTTTAATGGACAATTTCTAATTGACAATTGAACTGAACAGCTTAGGCCACAATGAGCTGTATTATAGTTAAGAATATCGTTACATAATATTTATATGTTTTATTCATTAGTTTTAATTTCATCAGTTGTGATTTTAAACCGTATAATATTAAATAATTGATTAATAGTTAAATAAAATATTTGTATAAATAAAAGTATTAATTAAGTTTCATATATTAAATAATAATAAAGTGTATAAATAATTATTTAATTGTTAATACACTATAATATATATTATTTTATATTGAAATTATCAGTAATTTTATTTATTTGACTAAATTTTGTTATTCAATTTTTATTTTTAAATAGATAAACAACTATTTATGAAACGGTGAAAGATAGAGAGAAACAACTATATTTAATTAAAATAGAAAGCGATCTGCCCACTATGCAGGTTGTCAAATGACAGCATACTACTCAATAAACAAATACATAGGACAATTTCAATTTTACAATACAAATAAACACTATTAAATTTATAGTACAAATACATAAATTAAAGGTTTATTTTACATTTATCATATAAATTATGTAATTCAATTAATTTATACATTTAAATGAATACACAAGTACAATTTACGAAGACATTCTTTTTAAATTTGTGTTATTAGTTGATAAAAATAGAAACTCGGTTTAATACATTTTTCATCGTTTCGCATACATTTCATGAAAATGATTGATATGTTTCAATAAGATATTCACATAAATAAATTTCACGATATTTTAAAATCCTAATAATTATAGCGTAGGTATTCTAAATTAAAATACATTTTATATTAAACAAATTTTAGTAGTCAATCAGTTAGTTGTTTATTGTTCACCTGTTTTTTTTATGAAAATAAAAACCATTTTTTTTTTTAAATTAACTACTAGTATAAAATAGTATTTTCAATCGTTAAATTACCATTTAAAGTGGTTTGGTGTTATTCAATAATAGTAAACTATTGTAAATTAGTATACTATAATAATCGAATAACATTAAACATTTACTTTTTTATCACTTTTACACTATTCACTTGATTAGTGGAAATTATTTAAACTAAAAAAAAAAAAACTATATTATAAATAAATCATATTGATATTATACAGGTTGTTAAACAAATATCATTTTATTACACCTTTTTGTAAATAATAAATGTTTTATTAAATTCGACAAAATTGTTCAAAAATGAAATGCAATTTATTTTCGCTAATCAGTGTATTCCATTATTGAACCTCGCCTTTAATAAACGTTTGAGCCCGTCAACACGTCCTCGTAGGCGGAAACCCGGGTGGGAGGCTTGACTAAATCGGTTACACCTAAAATGGGTTTCACTCAAGTGCGAAAGACCTATGAACGAAAGACTCCAATGGTAATAGACACTAAACGATAGCCAAAAATGTATATTTTAACCAGTATCGTAAGACGTTTTTTTTACTTTCTTGATTTTTTAAAAATGAAATAAATATGGTAGGTAAATGAAATGAAAAAAAAAATCAAAACTCCGTAACACTAAGAGCTTGTAGTGATCAGGGGGGAAAACGCTACACACTAATAGTAAGAGAAGATAAATATTTGTCTTAGTTTAATATAAGATTATATTATCTTATACAGATAATACATTTCATGCGCATGTGGTATAATAATTTTAATTTGAAAAAACCAGCGTGTTATAATTTTAAAAACGCTTGCTTTCTCTTAAACTATAAGAGATAGAATATTGATTCTAAACTCATTGGAAAGAACTTGTCAAAAAGTTACAAAATATGAATTAAATAATTAAAAATAAATTATTGGAGTTAACCGACCGCCGTGGGTAAAGCATCGCCCAGTTTTTCAGATACACGCTTAAGCTCACCACACATAATTAATTACACATCTGTACTATTTTCTATCGTCTCGTATCATACATAGTTTGTATTGTTATACTATCACGCGATTAACAGTTGGATGGATCTAGGCCCGTATCGAATTCCCTCGTGTATCCGGGAAACCGGCAGCTAAATAATATGGCCGATGATAGTGCTGCAGCACACATTCAACCGACGCGATTGCCGTCGCAGGAACTAAGCTTTAACGCGGTACCTGAAAAAAAAAACAATGATAATATAATGTGTTTCAGTGGAAATCACCGTTACACAGTGGCCTGAAAAAAAATTGTTTGTCCCAATTTTCGAGGGAAAAAAACAACAACAGATTTTCAACCGGATATTGTACATGGGAAACGAACGGATCTTGAGTTTCAAACAATAAATCAAAATCAAACGTTAAAAAAGAAAACTGGCCGTTAACGGCTTATAATAGGGCGGTTACGGTTGCCGATTGTGAACACCGGAGCAAGTGCAACGACACTAAATAATAAGTAATAGTTTAGTTGTGATTTGGGGATTAATCTGAAAAAGGCTCAAACGGGGCACAACGCCTACGGAAATAAAATCAACTTCATCAGTGTATAGGTATGTTACAACTGGTTTCTGGTCATCAGATCATATCATATTTGTTCTAAATTAATCACGCTGTATTTCCAAAATATATTTTATTCTCTAAAATTAAGGCTCACACCCTGGTTCTCAATCACTGAACTAACCGAACCAGTGGCCGTATATGGTCAGAGTTGAACATTAATAAATGGGTATTAATTTTATTTGCAATTTATTCGAATAACGTTATTTGAAATTAATTATTCGATTTGTTTCTGTCGTTCTTCATTATTTATTTAAAATTTGCCCAACTCTGTATTTTATAACAGCAACTGATGTCGTTCTATGTCCGAAACATTTGGTCGAATAATTCAACAACGTTCTAAATCCTTCAAACTATGTCCAAACATATTTTTTAAATTTAATAATTTTTTCGGGTGCTTGGTCAAAAAGTCTAAATTTTTATCTAAATCGTTATTTTGGCTAAACAAACCAAACTCGTTAAACCTTAAATTTGTTTATCCTCATTTGCGTTAACATTACAAAACGCTGCATTTATTCGTATGTTTTAATAACACATTATTACTTAGACTTACCACGAAGAGTACTTGTGAATATTTAGCGCCTCTAGTTTTTTTGATTTGTAGTTAAATATGGTAAACAAAATTATTTAACTTTAGCAGCTCTTACTGTACGTTATCTCGAGCCTAGGCCAATAGGCTATTTTTCCAATATTCGCCTAGATTATATTGGTGTTGTATGTCCATATCAATATCGGGGTTTATGTCACCCTACAATTAGTGTTTATTTCCAAAATCGCTCACCCCCGCGGTGTTTACAATAATACATGAGACCATGTTGACTAAACGGTGCTGATCCGTTTACGTTGAATGTATGTACAGCTGATACTGTTTAAGGTTTCCAATTACACGAATACACACCAATAAATTACACTCATGCCACACAATATGGACCCAAGCGCCGTCGCACGTCAACGCCGTCGAGGACGACCTAGCCCCGACTAGTCCACTTGACGT